ATCCTGAGGCACCAGTTTTGAAAATTTTTGAATTGATTGGTTAAACACAAGCCTTAAAGAACATCCGCATAATTGAAAAGTGAAAGCACCAAAGATTCACATAAGGACTTTTCCACATAATTAGGCAAAATATGTCGGTTGACACGGATGATTTTCAGTGCAGAATAGGCACGTTGTGAGATGATACTTGAGTATCATCGGCATATAAATGCCCCTAACAAGTGTGAATAGCGTGTAGTAAGTTGGATGTACATATACAGAGTAATAGATGGTCGAGTATGGATCCTTGAAGTACCCCTGATTTGAGATATAAGGTATCTGAATTGTATTCCACTATACTAACCAGTTGCTGTTTATTTTTGAAATAGTCCGTCGATAATGTAGAAGCGTTGGCAGAAAAACCATTATAATCCAAAATGCTTAGCAAAAGATTGTGATTAATAGTATCAAACGCCCTGATGAAACCCAGTAGGACTAACACCGTACATTTGTTTTTATCTATTGCTATTTTTATAGTACTCAGGAGTATTTAAGTACTTCAATTATGCGCGATTCATACATACATTTTTTGACACTCCTCAAAAATTTTAGACTGAATATTGTAATGTTGGAAATTATCTTTTGTTTCATTTAGAACTTATGGTTTGATATTTTCAACTTGTTACTAGTTTTCTTTCTATATAGGGTGTAACATAAGTACGTTAAAATATTCAAGTGACACATTCCTGAGACAATTTTAAGAAAAAAAGTCTATATGAACTTATGTCCGAAAATACTTCGTTTCGAAGATACGGGGTGTTGAAATTGAATTTTTTTGTTCGCTTTTTGGAANGTTCATATTACTGTTGGGGGTCGTCACTTCGAACAGTAGTTGTAATAGTTGTTTCGTTCAATTTTTATATGTTTACTTTCCTAATAAATAACATGGTACTTCTCCGAATTGTTTTTTTACAAACTCCGAAATGTAGCACTTTCTAATTGAATACTTAAACCTGACAAATTTTTCAAAGAAGTCTATACGGGTATACTGCGTATAAAGTTTCATGAAAATAACTGAAATTGCAAAAAACTTATGACAAAAACCTACCATGTTTTGAAAAATTTCAACAATCTGTATTTCGAAAACGAATCGTTCTTCGTTAAACATGTTATAGGAAACAGTTGTTTACTTTGACGAGATCCACCACATACTTAGTTTTTGTAATGTTCTCAGCAACTTCACTTAGCGCCCTAGGAGCTAAGTAATAGGCATCGATATAGAAAATTGTAAATATTTCGAAAATGATCTCCTCCAGCGTTGTTGAGGAGGTGTACCTTTTTTACTTGGAAAATATGTGGGAATTAGGTTTTTCCATGATAATTACCAAAAGTTTTCTGTCAAAAATGTTAAGGCAATTAGAAATAAATAATGACAGCGTACGCAGCGCCCTCTAGATGTTACATGAAAATTAATACGAAATAATGATTTCCCACGTCAAAAAAAACCAGGGTACCAAACTTCGTGCCAATAACTTATTTTTTGCAAGAGTTTTTTTCAAAAATCGAACAAAAGACTTCAATTTCAACACCCCGTATATCCGAAATTAAGCATTTTCGGACACAAATTCACACACAAGACTTTTTTTCTTAAAATTGTCTCAGGAATTCGTCACTTGAATATTTCAACGTCTTATGTTACAGCCTGTATTTTAACTGACTTGCATCGAACATTCAACTGTCAATAAAAAAAATATATCTATCTATGTTGGCCAAAAGCAAATGTTTGAGAAATCTTCTTCACAATAAATATTAACTGAAATTAGTATATTCAGTTTGTTATCCACACACTGTATTATTGAACCCTGTTTTGTGGACTTTTCATTAAATCACCAGAATAAGTTTCAGGTTCAGAGATAAATTATAAATTTCATTGACTCCAAATGATTGAGAATCGGAAGCGCTTATAGATATCAGTTCATTAAATCATCAAGAATGCCTAAACAAGCCGTGCAGGTAGTTTCCAACCCAACATAGGTATGTCGAATTCATATTTCGATAATAACGCTGCAAACATAAAAAAAGAAAGCACGCTTGTGAGATCGATCTTAAGAAGCGGTGTCATAATAACATTAGCAAATTAGGCGTCTCCCATAAAAAACGTATCTTGATTAGTCTATATTTGGTTTGAACCGTTAAATGTTTCTCCATCAAAAATTGATCACACATATCTGGAGCTAAGCATTAAAACTAGTTTTTTTATTAGCAATGAAACACTTCGCTGGTGATATGAAGTGGCTTTAATCACGGTGAGGATTCGATCTTTTACATTCAATTTGTGTCAATGTTAGGATTCAGGAATTTTGAAGAGAAGTTCTAATAGTTTCTTAAATTATTCTTTCGTTGTGTTGAACTTGAAGTTCATTATGACTTGAAGTTCCAAGGAAATTAATTATAGGGAAAAAATTTGGGAAGACCCACTCGACAATTCAATTGATGTAAGTTCAACCTCACACAAAGTGAAATCCTTTTTACATATATTCAACAATGACGCTACTGTAAAGTCTACAAACACTACAAACAATAGAAATAAGACTACAAATTTTATATTTATTAAAGGTTACAAAACGATTATTTTAGGAAGTGGGATTTTATATTTGACAATTTGCAACTAAATATATCTAAATTATCACTAACAGAATTTGTCACTTTACACATGGTATGGTATGGTATGGTATGGTATGGTATGGTATGGTATGGTATGGTATGGTATGGTATGGTATGGTTCTGGAGAATTCTCCGATCCATGGTATGGACAAGTTATTTCGATAACACCATTCTACAACCCGTCCTAAGTTTGCTGAGAGATTCACACAATCATCTATGTTCTCAACGAGGTAGTATAGTTTTAGATCATTGGCATATAAAAGGAAATACACATTTATAATATCTGCAATATCATTAATGAATATGTTGAAGAGCAACGGTCTCAGATTTGAACCTTGTGGAATACCGGAAGAAGCACTATATTCGGTAGATTTGAAACCATTGAGCTGAACATATTGGTTTCAATTCCGTAGATAGGACTGAAAGAGTGCGATTAAGGATGGAGATAATCCAAAGGCTACTAGTTTATTCAGTAGAATGCCATGGTCAAGCCTGTCGAAGGCCTTAGAAAAGTCTGTGTAAATAACATCAGTTTGGGCCCTATTGTCAATAGATTCAGCAATATGTTGGGTTACAGTGAGAAGATTGGTGACCGTTGAACGATTTTTCATAAAACCGTGTTGGTTTATACTTATATTATATTGCAACTTACATGCCGACATATAACTCGCTCCAGCAGAATCTCAAAAACCTTTGCAAAGTTGCAAATAATAGAGATAGGCCGATAATTTGAAATATATCGTCTATCTCCTTTCTTGAAAATGGGACAGACTTTTGATGATTTCCAGATCCTTGGTATTGTAGCCGATCTTAAGCAGATATTAATTAGTATAGAGGATGCAGAAAAGTTTTGTAATTG